TTCACCACATATCTTGGTAATGCACTCCAATGAGAACAGATTCTCAGTGAGCAAAAATACTTTCTACAATTCAGACGGGTTTCAGGTGTTTGTCTCGGCTTTGTTTGTAGAGGACTAAAGTCGACAGTGCTGTACATGGATGCTCGCTTTCAGTAAGTATCCAGTATGTGAGAGTAAGATCTCCGCGAAGCCGTCAGTATTCTGAGGACAACACGAGCAAATGAAGACGCAGTTCGTAACTTAGACCGGATAGTACACGCGCTGTCTTTGTGGCTCTTCTTTGGGGTTGTTCCAATAGGCGAATGTCTCGTTTTAACCATGGACATCAGGCCTGAATCACATAGTCAACGTGAGGACGAATATGGGATTTAATCAAAATTGGTACTAACCGTCGCTCAAAGGTATCGAGAGCTCTCCTCAAAAGTCTCAAGTTCAAGTTTGTCACGCATGCTGCTTTCGAGCATTGGAGCGAATTGCCAAGATTCTTTTGCACGATTATACCTAAGTCGAGTGCACTAGTCGCGTGTTGCATAACGTGTTGCCCCAAATGGTATGTGTTGACGAAGCTGCTGCGCACCGTCAGCAGGTGGCACTTTGCAGGGTTCAGTGGGATCTGGTTCCTTTCTGCCCATTCGTTAATCCGAGTCAGATCTACCTGGAGGTACACGCAGTCGGATGTTGAGCGAATTGATCTCCATATTATAGCATCGTCTGCAAATATTTGCTTCGGAGATAGAATGTCTGTTGGAAGCTCATTAATGTAGACTAAAAACAGTAGCGGGCTGAGGACGGATCCTCTTGGTACACTATTGAGGACGCACAGGCTTGCAGAGTGAGTGTCGGCTACTCTTACCTTGACTGCTCTGTCGTGTAAGTAGGGAACCGTTGATACTGTAGGCAGCAAGTTGTTGGAGGAGAAAAAATGATTGGCTCTGTCGAGTGCTTTAGCAAAATTCAAGTAAATCACATCTATGGGACCCCTTCATCAGACGCCCTAGTCTATGAGTCCAGAGTAAGCAGCAGATTAGGGAGACAAGATCGTCTGCATCTGACACCATGTTGGGCATTAGAAATTATCTGTAGACTTTAAAGTATCGCGTTAGTTCATCTGCGATTATCAATTCCATCACTTATGATAAAACAGAAAGGAGAGTAATAGGTCGGTAGTTGACAGATTCCGATCGTTTACCTCCTTTATATATTGGAGTGATGATTCCATTTGTCCACTAAGATGGGAGGATATGGAAGTTAAGCAGACCCTGGAAAAAGGTTGCAACTAGTGATGCTATGGTGGGAGAAAGGGTTTTCAGTACTTTTGGGCAGATCATGTCGATTCCAAGGGCACTGTACTCTCGGAGAGACTGTAATTTGCTTGCAATAGCTGCTGGAGTAAAGGTGACGCTGGATAAGCCAACGACATTTGTTGGGAGTTGATAGGGCGAAGGTTCCATGACATTTGTAGCTACGGAGCCAAACTACAAGAGTTGAGCGTTCGCGGCATCCACAGTAGTAGTTGTTAGGCCACTGGTCGTCTTGAGTGGTGGTAGTCCGGGCTTAACTTTGCTTTTGCCATTCACAAATCTGTATAGCATTTTGGTGTTGCTCGTAAATTTCAGCACCATGGTCTCCTGCCTTTCAAGTTTATCGATTCTAATGAGCGACTTGTAGTAGTTTCTGATTGCTTTGTAATGCTGACATATGGTATCACATGGGCTTAGCGAGTGTTGTTTAGAGATTTCATCTCTTCTTTTGATCCATTTACGTGTTCTGCTCCGGATCCACGTATTGGTCCGGCGCGATGTTCGTAATGGTACAACCTTCGATGCGGACTGTATGACCCAGTTAATGTTATCTTTCAGTTCATTTCACGCGTCATTCACTGAACTGTGCGTGTGTAGGTCCCAGTCAACGGATGCTGCTGTTGTGCTGCTTAAAGTAGTCCGTACTAGTTCGCTGAGTCACTGTTTCTTTATCAACAATACTGGCATAACACATATAAGCAAATGTTAGGACTGAATGGTGGTTACGGCCTAGTAGAGGATCGTATGTTATTGACTCAACCATCAACTCTTCATTAGTCTGCATTAATTGCAGAAGTGATGGCTTGTTTGAACCGCGGTATCTGATTGGTCGATGCACATGGTTATACAAAACTGCCATATACCTGAATTCAAGGAGCTTTGATTTAAATGATGGCCCATTAAGAGACATTGCTACAATTGAAGGAACATTAAAGTCGCCCATTATAAGATAGCGAGAGTACTTTTGTGAAACAGCATAGAGGATGGCGCTCAACAGAATGTTATCGCTGTCTGCTGATGAGTTCGGAGGCCTATAGATAACTGCTAAGAGGCAGGCATCACTCGTTTTCTATAATTTAACATCTCGACCTGCTAGGTGCAGTCGGCAAACTATTGTGTCGGGAATAACAAGGGAATTTTCCGTAAGGGTCTCATATTTCAACTAATCACGATAGCAGGGAGCAACACCGTCACCGCGAGATGGGTGATCATTTCGAATGACTGACATCCAACTGAGTTCAATCTCCGGATCAAGTATGTCCTTTGAAAGCCAAGTTTCAGTACCTGTTATGAGGTCTCAACTTGTCGTTTCATGTCGATGCTGCAGTTCCGAGAGCTGAGAATACAACCCCTGAGTGTTGGTGAAGCAGCATTTTATTTGTCGACGCATTAGAAGCACGTTTCGCTGTGAATGACCGGCACAAATAGTGCCGGTCTTCTGAAGTTTTTTGAAACCGTTGTTTGCATGGTTGGCTGACCTGAGATAGGAACAACTGAGATTGCCTCATCTGTATCTGAGGTCTGTATTATTGAAGGAATAATCTTAACCGTACTTCTGGTGACCCAATTTTCCTGTAATCATGCTATGCTATTTCGGGCGCAGCCAAGGTAACTTTCAAAACCTTCGGCTCGCTGCCTTTGTTGTTTGTGGAGGCAATTAGACTGGTTAGATAAAAAACCACGAGATTTTGCATGTCTCAGAACTCTGTGATATACCTCCATTCTTCGATGTCGTGCTTCTGTCGTCCACTACTATCGTCACGCTTCAATTCTGGCACCTCATGAACCAGTACCACTTCCTTCATCTCATTTTGACGTGATGAACTGGGGTTGAATTGTGGCTTCTGTCTTTCTGTGCATGGCCTGTCGGGAAAAATGCGGGCGTTGACAGAAGAGTTCACTAGAATGTGGCTTCCAGGTCGTTTATGTTGTCAAACGTTATTGCCAGTAACCGCGATTCCCCTACGTGTGAAGATGACGGATTTCATGAAAGGCTTGTAAGACCAGTTGGGAGAACTTTCAGTCCGAGTGCGCAGGTTTTTTCAGCCCAGCGGTTTTGCTCCTCGGCTTGTCTACCTTTTAGCGATTCGCTAGTGGGTTCCGGGACGTTTGAACATACCACTGTCATCGCCTTTTGGTTGCGTAGTAATTGTTTGTGCTGCAGTTCTTGTGAGCGTAGGTTTGTCGAGTGGGAGTGTTTGGTTTGTCTTTCGTGGACGAGAGGCCAAGGCTACAGCAAGATCTTTTTACGTGCAACGTCGTTAGTTGCACTATCTGTAGAAGTCAACTGTCGTTGCCTAACTACTGATGGATGTGATCGTGCAATTTGTGCGTAACTGCTTGCTTTGGAGCATTACGTGAGACTTGGGAGACCGTTCAACCAGCCTGTTTTCACTGGTTTTTCACTAACAGTGTTTGCCTTTGCTGGAGAGCTTTTGTCTTTTAACAGGTCCGGGATTCGGGCTACTTAATACGTTAATCTGCAACTCGTGTTCTGAGACTTTCCCTCCCAAAACCGCGATCAGTTGCTTTTGCTCTGCCGACGTACCAGCCAACATTTCACACCTTATCGTAAGCGTTTGAACAATCTTACTTGTGGACTATCTGAACATCAGTCACAGAACCACAACCTATCCGTCCATGCGCCGTTAGCGCCTTTACATGTAATGTTCACATTTGTTGCGTCATAGGAACGGGCACAGAACGAACACGTGATTTTCGAGAGGGTCTCAGTTCCTCTCTTGTCTGAGCTACGATTAACCTTGGGTTCGTTGCTCACTGGACCCCCGGTCGACAAACTTATCCGGCCCATGGATCCATGGTCGGTATGCACTTTTAGGTTGCGCTGGTCACGTCGTTTTTGCTGCCTCAGTTGTCTGCGCCGGTCAGCGGGTTTGGTGGTGGCGCACGAGTAGCCAAAATCACACAGGCTTTGTGCAGTGAAATGCAGGTAAAAATATGGTGGTAAGGTGAGATGACAAAAAATGCCTGTAGCTATGGTATACGGTGGTGCACGATACTGTTATATATTGTCTGACCACGTTAAAGAAGCCCTGTCGAATGGTATTCCAAAGGTATTTATGAAACTCAAATAAGCAAAGTTATGTTGGTTTTAGTGAACAGACTTCCGAATACTTTGTTTGTGGAGTAACAACGTGTCATTGGACTTACTTCAAACATCTAGACCCCGTTGGATAGAGCTCAGTGGACCAAACTGACTGAGCGTACTTTCGAACTGGTGGCACAATAAGGTGAGGGGATAATTCCAATTTAATACAGAGCACAGGATTGCACGATTAGCACGCATACGCTGACAAGGAGTAAAAATTGATCGGCTAGCAAATATCAGCCCGCGTCAAAGGAACCAAACTATTCGGTCAATACGATAAACTCGTGAAGCGGAATTCACTCAGAGTGGCTGAAAACCAGACGCAGAAGACTGAGTGGTTTTGACCTTCTAAATTAGCATGTTTCGTTTATCAGTAAGTAGAATAAACCTATCCTGTAGAGATACTTTCTTTCCACTGAGTTCTAGCCTTTTGTATTCCTTCGGTTGGCTGGGCGCGTGACTGAGCAGCCAGACAATCGCAATCTCACAAAGTAGCAAGGCGAGCAGTTATTGCAATGGACTTTCATTTTGTCGTCAGCGAGCTGAGCTGCTTCTGTTAATTGAACCATAATGTTTCACGTCTATTATAGAGACAATGTCCAGCCAACGTACCAATTCAAAACGAAGAATTCATCAAGAAAATACCATGGAGACCCGATGGAACTCATGCAGCCTGATACCATCAAAACGTTCCTGAATCAACAATGCATAAACTATGATAGAATAAACTTGTACGACAAGTTGCTTCTTTTCTTACTTGTAGTCACCATTTATCTGGGCTTAAAAAGAGCACACGCATGTCCTCTTCGCTACCGACTGCACATCTAAGGGTCTAGGACTTTAAGAACACTGAATACTGAATTATGGGAGCAAGTGGAAGTCTAGCTTTGTACAAATCCGTCAAGATATGGGCAAAGGTTAATTTTTGTGTGTCCATGGTCTAAGCGTTCTTTAATTCCTTTTGCAGCAATTAAAAATGACCGACCCACAATACCACGGATGATGTAAAGCTGGTAATGTTTTAATCTGGCGCACAGATTTGGCCTCCATTATATTTGTTGAAAGTTTGTCCCAAACACTGATTACTCGCATTCCGAAACTCATGGATAGGCACTCCGCTTCAGATCTAGAACCATAAGCTTGTATCGGAATTTGAGCGTGCAGCATGGCGTTTGCAAGTGGAACTACGGCTTTAGCATGGAGAAGTCACTGAGGCTGGATCACACCCGAAGAAACGACAAACTGTAGAGCGCTAGACTCTGGAATCGGTCATTGTACGACAAACGCCTTCAGTTGTACATAAACCGGGTAGCGATGTGCTGGTGCGGTCCAAACCTCCGCGTCTGGACTTGTATGACCGGTCAGCAGAAAGATGAGCTGCACGCTAGCATTGATCTTGTGAAGGAAAAGAAGTAATTAGTGGAAACCTCTTCAGGTCAAGTGCAAGGTATTCTGAATACAACAAAAGAATACCTAGCCTGCTGGCTAGGAACTAAATATTGCAGCCATCTTCAGTCAAAAGCTACCTGGGCCTCCCAGTTCAGGTTAAATCGGGTTGCAAATAGCGATGCAAAATGCTTGTAAACGGGTAGTAAATAAGTAGGTCTGCTGTGAAGGTTGATCAGAATCCATATATATATATATATATATATATATATATATATATATATATATATATATATATATATATATATATATATATATATATATATATATATATATGGTTGGCTGCATCCGGGTTCGGATTTACCTGTCACTGTGGCCAGCCACAGAATGCCTGCGCCTACAGAGAGACAATGGGTGGCTTGCGCTGCACCACCCACAGCTCCAACCACACACCCCATATCCAATGTAAACCCGAAGGAATAAGACCGGGAGGTATGTGGATGGGAGCCACGTTTCATCAGCGGAGCCGGCCCACACTCCTTCACACGCAAACACAAGCACGCTGTATTTGGTGAATCAAGCGCACACAAGGCGGTGGCTGGACCGTAGTCCGCTCCACACTGAGTGCATGGAACCACTATTTGAGCCTAGCACGGCCGCAAGGACCGTGCACCCCGTCCGCTCCAGCAACGACAAACTGTCTCTTGGAGCCAGTATGAACGAGGTAGTGGGTAATGGACATGTATGCACCTTTTCAACACGCACATCAAGCGCATCCACACCGGGGATATCAAGCAACTGTCATTCAATGTAAAAGACAAGCTAAAATATAATAAATCCAATAATGCATACCTATACGGTGGCATAACTCTTCCCTAAATTACCATATGTAGTAAGTTGGTTAGCAACGAATCCGCGATAAGTAAGAAATGTCCATAGGTTACTTAAAAATGCTACAAACGCAACAAAATAACCGAAGATAAGCGTAAACAACGTGGCCAGTTAATAGAACATTATTCAGGTAGGCAGAACAAACCAAATAAAGTGGAATGAAATTAACCCAGCTTAAAGAGACCTAGTTTAAGTGTAGGTTGCTTTAGCCCAATTGCGGTGAAGAAGCATCAAGAATGCAAGATCGGCCTCAGCATGGGGCACATATATAAATATATATATATATATATATATATATATATATATTGAAATGATTGGCCTGCTTGTCACTTCACTCTTAAGTGCCACTCAGGCCAATCCTTTCAATGATGAACGCGCCCCAACACAATCTCACTCGTGGGTTATTGAAATTGCTAGCTCCACTGAAACAACTGTTCAATCCGCACAGTCCTAATGACTCGTTTCAACTCATTCATGACCTGGATGAACGCAACCTGTCAGACAAATTCATATGTTCCTTGGATGTAGAATCCTTATGTACCAACGTGCCGCTACATCAGACGGTTGATTACGTGTGCGAATTAGCTAAAAACGGTGGCTGTTCGCTACCAATTCCGACTGAATTGCTAAGAGAATCTCTACTATTGTGCACGGAGAAGGTGGATTTTCACTTCCGGAATACACCATACCGTTAGATTGACGGCGTAGCAATTGGTAGCCCATTAGGTCCTATGCTCACTAATTTCTTTAGGTTGATGGTAGAAAGAAGCATTTCTACAGAAATAGCCCAGGTGCCATACTACAACTGATATGTCGATGATATCTTGGCTTTCCGTTCGTCGGAGCAGCAGCTCACTCATTTGGTAGAACGGCTCAATGGTGCTCATGCTAACTTACGGGTTACATGCGAAATAGAACATAACAATTGTCTGCCATACCTGAACATACTCATAAGTCGCAAGGATGGTGGATTGATTAAGAGGTCCATTTACTGAAAATCAACTTGGTCCGGTCAGTACCTGCACTTCACCAGCTTCACACCAGTGCGGTACAAACGGACACTTGTGAAGACTCTAGTTAGTTGTGCCAGACGAATTTGTTCGGCCTACTATCTGGACGATGAGCTAGTGTTAATTACAGCAACACTAATGGCGAACGGCTACCCTCGAAGATTTATCGAGAAACACAGCCAACCGCGAGGGCCAAAGGACTTGGTGCACACGGCAGCCAAGAAGAAATTGTATGTCGAGTTACATTTCAAAGGTGACTTAGCCACGCTGAAGACAACTAAACGCATAATTTCGGCTACACAAGGAAGTTACTATGCTGCACAAGTTGTCGTCATCAACCGAACCCGAAATTTGCCCATACCTCCAACGAAGGAAGCTCAGCCTATTGGGGCCAACTCACACTGCGTAGACCAATTTGTATGTGACTGCGGAAAAGTTACATAGGCAGAACCAATAGAACGCTGGCTTCCCGAATAAAGGAACATGTACCAAGATTGGTTCAACGTGAAGTTGCACAGATTGCCTACCCTCGTCTGATTCCATGTTCGCGCAGACCGCCGGCTTCCTCGATAGGCAAACACCTATTAGACTCGGATCACCAATTAGAGCTGGGCTAAGCGTTTAGAGTTGTGTTATGTCACACTAATCCCCGCTTCCTTCGGTTTGTTGAAGCTGTCGATATAAGTCGGATTAAGACAGCCTTGTGTGTTCAGAAACAATTATTAGTCATCCTAAAGCTGCCTTGGACGTAGGTGTGAACTTCTGTCATTCGTTTCGCACTTTAAGCTTGTCTGGTTGCACCCACTGTTAGCTATAACTATGCATATCGGTTATTGTTAATGGTACTGAGGAGACAATACGAAATGCATATATATATATATATATATATATATGTTTGCGGCATCCGGGTTCGGATTTGCCTGTCACTGTGGCCAGCCACAGGACGCCTGCGCCTACAGAGGGACCATGGAAGGCTTGCGCTGCACTACCCACAGCTCAAACCACACACCCCATATCCAGTGTAAACCCGAAGGAATAAGACCGGGAGGCATGTGGATGGGGGTCACGTTTCATCAACGGAGCCGACCCACATTCCTCTACAGACAAAAACAATCACGCTGGATTTGTGAACCAAGCGCATACGAGGCGGTGGCTGGACCATAGTCCGCTCCACACTGAGTGCATGGAACCACTATTTGAGCCTAGCGCGGCCACGAGGATCGTGCACCCCGTCCCCTCCACGAACGACCAACTGTCTCCTGGAGCCAGTATGGACGAGATAGTGGGTAATAGACAGGTAAGCACCTTATCAACATGCACATGAGCAGCAGCTACACCGGGGACATGAGGCGACAGCCAATCACCTGAAAGGACAAGAGAAATAAAACAAATCGGATAATGTATACCGATACGCCGACATAGCTATATAATAAATGAGCGTATGAAAATAATTGGTTTCCACAGTCTCTGCCATAGATCCAAAAAGTCAGATAATATATGTAAAGAAAATGCCACAAATGCAAAAATGTTATCGAAGTTAACTACCAATAATTTAAGCGAAGTGTGCAAGTTGCTAGAAGATATTACCCGCAGACAAAAATGAGTCAACATACCAAACCCCCCACCTGACCACTTGAGACTCAGCAAGCCAGCAAGCCATTAGTAAATCGATTACAGCGTGACTACAAATGCTGCGCCGGTTCTGCCTACGTTCTCTGCAGGACCCGTCGTCGCATGGACATTGACCGTAAGTGGCATCGCCCATGGCTCACTAGGCCTGACTGACTCAGGCACTCGCGACCGCATGTGCCACAGCACCATGCGCTCGTTGTCGATGGAGTACAACCCATCCGCGCATGTCGCTACCGCACTTGCCGATTCTTCTCCGTTTGCACTAGGCAGTTCTCTTTCACCTCCACAACGGCCTTCTTGATCAGCTAGCGCCATGTACGCAGATCAACCTCCTTCGATTCCTATGACTTGCAAGCAAGAGTAAAACGTGTGAGGCTCAATTTGATCATGTCCTGGTAAAGAAGCTTCGGTTTCCCCACATGTTGCTTCGCAATAATCAGCTGACCATATAAAAGTTGTTCCGATATCCGCGTTGAGTCCATACGACCCACATGCCTGAGCCATCTAAGGGTGCGCAACAAAAGTATGCAGTCCACCACATACATCCTACTTCGGCGCAACACTCCTGTATCCGCAACTCTGTCGAACCAATCAATGCTCAGAATCCGTCGCAAACTCTCTTGATGGAACAACTCGAGATATCGCACATCCCGCCCGTACATCGTCCACGTTTCGCTTTCGTATAGAAGAACGGACAACGCCATGGATTTGTGCACCATCAGCTTCATACTAACGGTAGACTGATGGTTGTTCCATACTCGGTACGCTAGCTTCCCGAATGCCCCCGCTGTCTTCGAGACGCGGATACGAAGCTCACTGTGTAGCTGCTGATCAGTCGACATCACACTCCCAAGGTATCAGAAGCGGGAGGGAGTTTCTAATACTTCAGCACCAATGATGATTCGCAG